AAACCGAAAACAAATGGGTAAGAAGAAATTCGCGGCGGCCGGTTTGGCCTCCATCCTCCTCGTGGCCATGGTGGTGGCCGTGACAGTCTCTGTCACCAATCGCAATGCCGGTTCCGGTGGTGTCGGCACTTCTAACAAGGCGGCTCAGGCCATTTGCTCCCCGACCGACTACAAGGATGAGTGCATGAATAGCCTTGCCAATGCTAACTCCACCGACCCCAAAACCCTAATCGAGGCCGCTTTCAATGCTACAATTGATGATATTGCCTCGGCCGTTAAGAACTCGTCTCTCCTTAAGGAGGCCGCTAAGGACGACAGTACTAAGGCCGCCTTCGACGTTTGCGAAGAAGTCCTCGGCACTGCGATCGACGACCTCAAGAGGTCAGTCTCTCGGGTTTCCGAGCTCGACGGGTCGAAGGTCGACGAGTATGTGGAGGACCTCAAGACGTGGCTAAGCGCCGTCATCACCTATCAGGAGACCTGCATCGACGCCTTCGAGAACACCACCGGTGAGTATGTACGACCGTGAAAATATAAAATAAAATAACCGTATCACCTCACAATGTAAAATAACTACTATTCATACTTCCACAATAAATGACTATATTTCATCGTTTGCCATTCCATTTGTTAAGTGGCCATAAAACCAAGACACTGGTATGGTATATATCTGCTAACCGTGCACCGCATGCACGACAGGTGACTCGGCCGATAAAATGAAGGAGCTTCTCAAAACGGCCCGACACCTCTCGAGCAACGCCCTCGCCATGGTCACCGACATCACGTCCCTCATCTCGTCCCTCAACCTCACCACCCTCTCCGGCGAATCCTCCGCCAGCCGGAGGCTCTTCTCAACCGACGACGACAACAACGACCCCACGAAATGGTCCCGACGCGACCTCCTCTCCGTCCGGCCCAACGCCGTCGTGGCCCAAGACGGCTCCGGCCAATTCAAGACCATCTCCTCCGCCATCGCCACCGTCCCCAAAAAAAACAACGTGCCTTTCCTCATACACGTCAAGGCCGGCGTCTACAAGGAGCACGTCGAGATCCCCAAGGGGGCCCACAAGATCGTCATGTACGGCGATGGCCCCCTTAAAACCGTCATCACGGGAAGCAAAAACTTCGCCGCCGGCACGAAGACCTTCCAATCGGCCACGCTCTCCGTGAACGCGGACGACTTCTCCGCGCGCGACCTCGCGGTTGAGAACACGGCGGGCCCCGAGGGCCACCAAGCCGTGGCCCTCCGCGTGTCGGGCGACCGAGCCGTGTTCTTCAACTGCCACCTCAACGGATACCAGGACACGTTGTACGCGCACACGTACCGACAGTTCTACCGAGATTGCGAGATCTCGGGAACAATCGACTTTATCTTCGGCGACGCGCTCTCGATCTTCCAAAACTGTCGGTTCGTGGTGCGCCGCCCGATGGACAGCCAGGCGTGCATGGTGACGGCGCAGGGCCGCGTGGACCCGCGGAGCCAGGGAGCGATCGTGATCCAAGGTGGCGACATTGTGGCCGAGCCGGCGTTCTTCAAGGCGCCGAAGCCGATCGTGGCGTACCTCGGAAGGCCGTGGAAGGAGCTCTCGAGGACGATCATCATGCAAACGAACATCGACGGGTTTATTGCGCCCGAGGGGTGGTCCCCGTGGATGGGAACTTTCGCGCTCGACACATTGTACTATGCGGAGTATCAAAATCGTGGGCCCGGGTCGAACCAGGCCCACCGGGTACATTGGAAGGGGATCAAGCATATTGGGTCCAAGGTTGCCGAAAGCTTCACGCCCGGGAAGGCGTTCGGAGGTGACTTCTGGATTAAGGGCGCCGGCATACCGTACGTTCCCAGCATGCTGTGATTATATGAAAGAATATAGTTGTGTTATGTGGTTTTTTTTTTTTTTTTTTTTTTNTATATGTTTGATTATTTTTGTAACGGCTCGAGTGATATGAAGAGAATCGATCATGTGTAATATATATGATGATGATTCTCCCCAGCTTCTTTGGATGGAAGTTTTTGGTTGGTGTTAATGGAATAGTGGTATTTTGAATATAGGTGTGTAGTTGACAATCTAAAGTTTGTCAGCCTTCAGAATTCATGCATATATATGCAACACGAAATTTGTTACGTATGACAATTAACATGGGATTAGTTAGCAAGAAATATCATTTTACATCTTAACTCAAGAATAATATACAAATGTTAATGTTCTCCTCCACTCCATAAGAAATTGGTTTTAATTATGATATCTATATTTGTTACATTATAAAGTAAGTATATTCGGAAATTAGGAATGGTAAATCTACCAGTTTGTGGAATGATCCCTCTATACCACATTACTTAATTGGGATTCCCCATAAAAGAAGTGATGTTGTTTGCAATCTTAGAAGGGTGGAAGATAGTTTAGAGGAAGGAAGAAGAAGATGGAAAGAGGATCTATTGAATGAGTGGTTTGAGGACTCTAACAAAGTGATCAGGAGCATCAAAACTCTAAATCCTAATCTTCATGATAAATGGTAAATGGTGCTGGACTTTTGGTAGAAATTAGAAAATGAGTATTCTCTATGTCTTCTACCTACTATCACTAGGGATCTAGATTTGGCAGAAAGAAGCAGAAGGCAGTAGAACTGCTCAACTAGACAAGAAAGCAAGAAGGAGAAGTTATGGCTTGAGAATCAAGGGAAAGCTTAAGAACTTCTTATGGAAGTGTTATACAAATGTGCTGTCTGTGAGTGTTAACTTAAGGAGAAGAGGTATGCAGGTGGATTCAGTTTGCAATTCTTGTGGAGAGGAAGATGAATCTATAAATCATGTCTTCTTTACGTGTAACAGAGCTAGAAGGATTTGGAGGTTAGCACCTGTATGGTTGGATGGCCTGGAAGTTGAAACTCAGAACTTCAGAAGCTGGTGGTGGGGAGTCTATGCCATAGACAGGAGGTTGATATCTGAGGAGATGATCCAGTTGACTACCTATATTCTTTGGTGGCTCTGAAAGTCCAGAAACGTGTAAAAATTTCAGAACATTAGGATTCCTGAGCAAGAGGTCGTAAAGGATGAGCATGTTGTGGTGACTGCTAAGGGACACAACTGATCTCCTAGTGTGAGGTACTAGGTTTCTCTTGAATTTAGTGGTACTCAATCTAGGTTGGTCATGTTGTTCTTGTAGTAGTAGTTCCTTATTCTTGTTGTTGTATTTGAGTCACGTATAAGAGGGTCAATTGTTATATTGCTATTAGATGTATGTGTTATTGACTTGCCTCTTTAGGCCACCAATTTGGGTGGTTCTCCCTCATTGTATTAGGGCTATTTAGCTTCCTGGTTTGTAATCTTTGTAAACGGTTTATATGAAAGTTGAATGAATTTTCTATCGTTTTGAAAAAAAAAAAAAAAAGTTGTGAAACTTGTCTTATGCAGCTGCCTAGATGGAACCTAGGCGCGCCGGGCGGCTCTCAACCCCCGAACAAACTGTAAAAAAGTTGACTAGATAACGGGCAATTGAAAATCAATAAAATACAATTTGAAAACTATTATTAAAATTGATTATAAATTACTCGTTCATAAACATCAAAAGTTACTATATTTACAATTGAAAATTCACAAACGTACAAATACAAAGGAATGGGCACGTCAACAACGTCACTCTGCTGATAATTTGACCTCCAAAACCTATTGGGCCTACTAAAGTTGATAGCAACACATTACTCAAAACTAAGAATGGGCTTTGTTATATCAGCTGCGGCCCACCTCTCTCTTTCTGGAGAATTATATAGCAGACAACAATTAATCTATATATATATAATTACTAGTTAATAGTATTTAATAAAACCTATTTAATTTTACCTATGTGGCAATTTAACAATTTTCCCTCCAAAAACCGTTATATTTTAATGTATTTACTCTTTCATTTAATAATTAAATAATTAATACTCATCACTTCAAAATTATAAAAATCATTTTAAACTTTTGATTAATGACAGTTGACCATATAATGTGTTGACCGTATAATGTGATTAGATGTTATTATTGTTGTTACATTTAATTTTTTTTTTTTTGAAAATAAAAAATATATTTGAAATTCTTAAATAAATAATAAGAGGGTGATTGTTTATCAATTCATCTAGAAATTAATTGGTTTTTTTTAACTATAGTTACTTTTGAAAAAAGTTAGTATAGTTAGTTGTTAGTGGATATATTAAAATAATATTTAAAATAAAATAATTAAAATTGATATATGTAAAAGTAAGAGAAAAATGATTGGAAATGATGGTTAGTTAAAATTATGTGAGTGGATGAATAGTGAATTAAAGTTGATGTGATGTGTAAGAATGATTGGTTGGAATTATTTAATTATTTGGTAATAATGGAAATAGTGGAGTTGTGTTAAAGTTGAGGTAAATTTGAGTTTTGATTGGTTTTTTTTGAATTGGATTGATAAACAATCACACTGTAAATAATTCACAAATAAAAGACGTACCAAAATATACATTACATCCAATCAGATAAATGCAATTTAAAAAAAAATAATATTCCAACTCTTTTAATTATAAATTTGGTCTGCAAAATAGTGAAAGAAAAATAATTAATCATTATATGCATACAGACTCACAATAATTTATTTATATCTGTGCAAATGCACAGGTCGAATACTAGTTAGAGGAATTTGCACCAGGTACGTTCCCTTTATTCTTTTATTACATAAATATAACCCCCTAAAAAATATTAACATATTAACATAATTTATGGATTTTATTTGCACAAATACCAGAGATTAAATCTGGCGTAATTAAAGGCAAAAACTTATCACATTCCAAATAACTCTCCTTCTCTCTCTTCTCCTCTCTCTTCTCTCCTTCTCTCTCTCTTCTTCTTCTACAAGTTTATACGATGAGAGTTTTTCTTTTCTTTTTTTTTTTTTGGCTCCTCGACAACTTGCTGCAGGAGAGGATCGAGCGTGCTGATCCGCGGCTTCGCCAAGTCTTTATCACCGGCGACTTCTCGAGCGTGATGATGGTACACGAGCGACGATTTTTCGATGATGGGGGTAGATTCTCGATGGTGGAATCCATCTCCTTCTCCCCGTCGCACAATTCTCAGCCGACCGAGGCGATGCCACTGAGATACGCCCGTCGCCGTCGAGGAGGGGAAGAACCGACGCCGTCAGGTGAGCCTGCAGATGCAGAGACGAGGGCCATGGCTAAAGTTTCGGCTCTTAAACTGGGTTCATGTTAGAAAAAACTGGAAACTGGAACTATTTTCAGTATATGTTCGATATATGTTCAGTATATGTCCCCAATTTCTGCTGGTATATTTTGAGTAATGTTTGGTATATTTTGAGTAAAAATATGTTGTGTATATTTTTGAGTAATGTTTGGTATATTTTTTATTTTAATCGACCAGTCATTTTATTTTTGTGGTATATTTGCATAACTTTTCTTAAGAAAAAGATCGATCGCGCCTCTATCGTTTATGTTGTGTTGTGGTATATCTACAGTATATGTTCGTTATATGTACAGTATATGTTAAATATATATGTATAGTCGCAGGATAAAAATTCTGATTTTTTTTCCTGGTAACATCCCGAAAATCATGCTGAGAAGATATGGAATGGAGGATGTTACGATGGTAACTGATTTTTAGGCAATAATGTAATTATTGTTTGTCTATTAAGTATATACATAATTATTTGTTTGTGAATGGTAAATTCTAAATTACTTCAATTTCGTTCGGTATGCTTGCAAATTTCCCATTTAATTACGAGTCTTGTCTTCATTCATTAAACTTAACTTGAATTCATTATAACATACCAAATCATTAGTCTCTTGTCCCTCTGATTCGAAAAGGATAGGCCGACAGCGCTTGTCTTCATTCGATTCTCGCAACCTTTTCACTATTGAATTTTTCCCATTTATTACCATTTAAACGCCTACAAAAATCACAAAGTGGCGGCTGAACTTTGGGGTGTTTAAATGGAGGGACTTTAGGGGTTCTTGAAGGAAGAGTCGTGTGGCGGCTGGAGGAGATGAGCTCCGTTGTTGCCGAGAAAAGTTGCTGACCGAGCTTGCTAAGGTGCTGGACTTGGTTCAAGAAAGAAAATAACAAAAGCAACCGAATAGATTATTTTCATAATCTTACAACACCATTGAAAAAGAAAGGTTAATAAATCATTTGTGGAAACTTTTAAAAAGCTGGTCAACAACACCATTGAATTTCTATATGTGGAAATCAATTTAAAAAAATCCAAAAATTATTTATTTTTTATTTTCTTTTCGTTTTAAATCATTTCAAAACAGAATCACGCAAAAAACAGAATACTGGAATCATTCCAGTATAAACGAGTTCCTACAATAACGCAATTCACGTGTTTTTAAACATTAACGCGTTTAAAAAAACAGAATCATCATATTTTGGTTAATATCTTAATAAAATCATTCCATAATTTTCGTGGAGATAAACGAGCAGAGAAAAACTGTGTATAAAAAGGTATTCATTGATATAATTTTTTTATCAGCTCTTCAAAATTAAAGCGCAAAACGTGCAGAAAAAAAATACAGAGAAAATATAATGGTATCCGCACGTAATTTATTAATATAAGGTGAAGATTGTGAAGCAGAAGAGGAGGACAATCATCACCAGCAGGTACACCCACATGAGCCACGAAACCCTGAGGCAGAAGCTGATGATCAGTCCAGCCATGGACACGGGGAGCCCGACTATAGCTGATGACCGACTGGTCGAGGAACCGCTCGCACTCGGTGTTGGCCTGCCGGAAAAGCCATGTCCCGCCGCCGATGATCGGGATCGAATGGACGAGCGTGATGATATTCAGGAGCCCAACTAGGTTGTTACCGCGACGCACTATGATTTTGATTTTTTTTTTTTNATTATTTGAAACTGATTGGGAGGATTTGTGGGTATTTTTCTTGATTGATTGAGAGTAGGGATGGGTGGAGATGTTTCTTGATATTCAGGGGCGGAGAAAGCACATAGAGGTTAATTATGGCTACAGACGAGTGGGGGCGAGCGAGACGAGTCACGCGTGGTAGCGTTTAAAAAAACACGCATGGTAGCGAGCCGCCGTAGCGTGTATGAGCGATTCAGTTTTTGGTTACCAAATTGTATTGAATGTTTGTTTTGTTTCCAATAAATCAAGGTAGTATTTGAATTATAATTTAAACACAATTTCAATTATAATAGTTAAATCTAATGGTTAGAGTAACAATGTCTATATCTTTTCTTTAATATATTAAAAGGTCTGTATTTACCCAAAAAATTAACAAAAATCCCGCCTAAAAATTTAAAATTAAATCTTATCATCTATCTCAACCATCCGCAGGCAGTATTTCAAATACTTTTCTATTGATAATCAAATATATCAAAGATTCACAAATTTTATTTCTGTTCAATAATTTATAATTTTATACCCGATCCATTTATTATTGACATATATATAAATTTTATTAATTTTAGTATTTCACACATTAGTATTTCCCTTGTGAGCCTCCAATGAAAAATCTGCCTTCTTTCTCCATTCCCCCTTTTCGGGTCTACTCATCTCCCAAATCTCCCACAAATTATCCCCACAAGAACGCAATAACGACAGATACCTTCCTGTCGAAAGGTAAATATTATTTACATTCACAGTTCCACCTAAAGGGCCCTAAAGGGATAGGGCCAGGGGTCTCTGTAAAAATTTCATTCTCCAGATTCAGAGTCAAGACTTGGTTGGTAGGGGTATGAGTCCAATGCATGAAACCTTCAGAAATCATCAACTGATGCATTCGCAAAGGTGTTGTCAACTCGAATTCAACTTTCCTGCACGATTTATCAACTCCAACGTTTAATATATAACACCACCTCTTTTTGTATTTTGCCTCTCAGGCCAAAATATAACCGCTTTATACTCCATGGAAGCCGGCACACACCCAATTGCATGAAATCCAATTTGAACACGCTTCACAAGTGGAGGGAGAATAACAACTTGGCCTGTTGTGGGATTCATGACATACAGATTATCCCTATCCCCTAACTGATTCTCTAACCACAACCCATTACAACTACTCGTGATAGGACGCCTTCGTTTGTACCTCAACCTAGAAATTTCGACTCGAAACCCTCCTTGTGGGAGCATTAAATATGAGACCCTGAATTGTACATTTGAATAGGAGTCCATAAGTGGCGTGCTGTAAGTAGAAGCGCATGAAACCACGGGTATGAATGAGATGGTACCATTTGCGGTAAACGAGCCTTGCCTCGTAAATATCTTTGCCTGGGATGCGTGTCAACAACTCATCGGATAGAGAGTCTATACCACATTTTGGATTTTACATAATTCCAATTTTGGATAAATATTTGAATGAGTACGAATATCCTATTATAATTTAAATGCATGGAATCCTTACACAGAATAGAAGGCTGGCATCTTTATAATAATAGCTCGAAAGATTCCGAAGCATTCCAAGATATTCTAGCATTGTTGGTGCCAGCACCTATCGAACCCAATGAAATGATGGCTGCCTGCGAATTTTAAATTGACAAATTGAATTATATAAATTAACAACCAATACACTCCGAAAACCGTAGTTCAACAACTTGACTTGACCATTTCTCTCAAATCATACCAAACAAAAGAGGAAGAAGGAGAATCAAATTACCATTGCTACTTCTGAGTCGGCATCATGATTGAGCCTGCTCAATGTGTCCATGACATTGACCTATCCAGATGAAAAAATAAAAAATAAACAAATAAACATATAAAAAAACTCAACCAAATGTGTAAAATCATTGTTTACATTAATCCTCGTCTAAGCAAATAGAGACTATTTCGACTTCCAAAATATTTTTGAACTCCTTTTCCATAAAGACAAAATATAAAAACAATTTAATGAAAAGTTTGTGCTTAATTGCAGAATCATGTTCCTTGTCCACTGTCAAAGAGGTAAACAAGTTCAATTGCTCATGGCAAGCGACAAGCCAGAATCCCACAAATTTCTAAATAAAACAAGAAAGCAATAAGAAGGATTGAAGAAGATGAAGACATCCAATTAAATCTTTATTTTTTATTAGGTAACTTATTAAGAAAATTAAATAGACGAGAACATCTCTACTTAATTCTCATTTTGATTAAAGGATTTGAATTAAGATCGAGATTAAAACTTAGTCGAACTATAAATGAAAGGCATGTGAACATGCTGTGCTTCTCTTTAAATAAAAGGGGTGTTACACATGCAATGTAATACTGGACTTGGTCCAAGAAAGGAAATAACAAAAGCAACCGAATAGAATCTTTTCATAGCTTACAATAGTAAATATCCCAAATAGTACATATTCGAATAAATTAGAAAAGGTAGAACAAAGAGTATAATTAATTAAATACCGGTGAAGCAATGGAGATGATTGGGGGAAGGCTACACAGCAGCATCCAACCACTCCAAACTACTCTTATGCACCATAATTTTGCACATTCCTATGTAGAAAGGTAACTCCAATTTATCGAATTCTTGTGTCACAAGATTGTACAAAAAAACAACAGTCAAGTGCTTCTTATCAACAGATTTCAGGGCCAACAACTCTGAATACTTGACCCACCCAACTGGGATTAAAAACTTATCATGTCGGATACCTAACTCTTCGAATCTTCCCTTGTGAGCCTCCAATGAAAAATCTGCCTTCTTTCTCCATTCCCCCCTTTCCGGTCGACTCATCTCCCAAATCTCCCACGAATAATCCCCAGAACGTCGCAATAACGACAGATACCTTCCAGTCGACAGGTATATATTGTTTACATTCCTAATTCCAGCTACAGGGGGAGGGCCAGGGGTCTCTGTAAAAATTTCAGTTTCCAGATTCAGAGTCAAGACTTCGTTGGTAGGGGGATGAGTACAATGCATGAAACCTTCAGAAATCATCAACTGATGCATTTGCAATGGTGTTGTGAACTCAAATTCAACTTTCCTCCATGATTTATCAACTCCAACGTTTAATATATAACAACACCTCTTTCCGTATGGAGGGGGCCAAAATATAACCACTTTATACTCCATGGAAGCCGGCACATACCCAATTGCATGAAATCCAATTCGAAAACGATTCACAAGTGGAGGGAGAAGAACGACTTGGCCAGTTGTGGGATTCATGACATACAGATTATCGTAATCCCCTAGCTGATTCTCTAACCACAATCCATTACAACTACTTGTGATAGGGCGCCTGCGTTTGTACCTCAACCTAGAAATCTCCACTCGGACCCCTCCTTGTGGGAGCATTAAATATGACCCCAGAAATTTACATTTGAATAGGAGTCCATAAGTGGCGTGCTGCAAGTAGAAGCGCATGAAATCACGGGTGTGAATGATATGGTACCATTTGCGGCAAACAAGCCTTGCCTCATAAATATCTTTGCCTGGAATGCGAGCAAGGACTTCCATCAACAATTCATCGGATAGAGAGTCAATGTCCGAAATTGGCCTCTTCCTTTTACACCTCCTCGGGTAGAATCTGCGGCTAATTTTGCCACCAATAATCTGCATATTCGAGGGATAAACAACATTGGCATATAGTTGGGAAAATATGAAACTTCGAACTAAAAAGATCTACAAAAGTACTTGTTAGAGTACAAAATATTTAAAAAGAGATTATATATATATAACCTAGTCTAACCTAACCTAACCTGGTCATTGCGTGGAAGCAGGAATTTGAAGGGTGCAACCTGAGCGGTCCCTTCTTCTTTGCTGGCAGCCTTTGGTAGTCGAGGCGGCGGTGGCTGCCGCACCATTGACTCTGGGATCTCACGTGACCATGGAATTCTCTCATAAATAAGCCTATTCATCGATTAACGATCTGCATACAAAACTCTGATAAATAAATAAATCGGACAAAAGAAAAGAATAAATAAGGATAGAGGGATCCCGCACAATCTATATTTTCTACTTTGACAAACCCAATCAAAATATACTTAGGAATGGGGGAAGGGGAGATGGAGGCGACGGCAGTAGGGTTTGAGGAGAAAAGATATATAACCCGACCCTGACTTCGGGGTTAGCGGGTGTATTTGAGTGTATTTAAGTAGGATTTTAAAAACTTTTTAAAACTTTTTAAAATGAGAAAATTGTAAATTCTGAATTACTAAATACCGCACCCATTTTACTACGTACCGCACCCCTAAAATACTAAATTATCCTTTTATTAAAAAAAAAAAAATATCAAAATTGGAAATTAAGCTCCAAACCCGTCGGCCCACCACCCACCATATCAAAAAAAAAAATTTCGTCCTCCTTCCCAAAACAAACCGCACAAAATCAAAAAAATTGAAAGAATTTTTTTTTTCAAAAATCATTCGAAAAAATCCCAAAAAAATCGAAAAAATGGCCGGACGACAACCAAGAGACGGCAAGAGTACTAGGAATCTACAGGTACGTTTTTTTTTTAAAAATTTTA